TTGGCTCTCTCTCTCCCACTGTGTCTGGTTGTCTATGAGGGATTGTTCTATGTCTGTCTTCTGTTGCTTCTGTAATGATTGTGGGTATTTTGTATCACTGTACAAACCATGGTATTTTCAGTCACCACATATACATGTGAAAGCTGGACAATGAATAAGGAAGACCAAAGAAGAGTTGATGCTTTTGAGTTATGGTGTTGGCAAAGAATACTGAAAGTACCATAGACTGCCAGAAGAACAAACAAATCTGTCCTGGACAAAGTACAGCCAGAATGCTCCTTGGAAGCCAGAATGGCCTGTCTTCATCTCCCCTCCTTTGGTCATGTTGTCAGAAAGAACCATCCCCTGGAGAAGGATATCATGCTTGGTAAAGTGGAGGGTCAACAAAAAGGGGGAAGGCCCATGGTAGCGCAACAATGGGGTCAGGTGTAGCAAGGATTGTGAGGCTGGCACAGGACCAGACAGTGTTTCGTTCTGTTGTATATAGTGTCACTGTGTTGGAGGCTAGTGGATGGCACCTAACAACAACAACAGGTTAAGGAGCTCTGGTGGTGTAGTGGTTAAGGCATGTGGCTGCTAACCACAAGGTCGGTGTTTCAAAACCACCACCCTCTTCATGGAAGAAAGATGAGGCAGTCTGCTTCTGTAAAGATTTACAGCCTTGGAAACCCAATGGGGGTCGCTATGATTGGAATGAGTTAGTAGTTAATATACTAGGGTGATATTATCAGAAGGGACCGATCCCTGGAGAAGGATATGCCTGGTAAAACTAGAGGGTCAGTGAAAAAAGGAAAGACCCTCAAGAGATGGACTGACATAGTGGCTGCAAGATAGGCTTAAGCATAGCAAATATTGTGAGGATGGTGCAGGACTGGGCGTCATCCGTTTCGTTGCATGTGGGGTCACAGTGAGTTGGAACCAACTCGATGGCACCTAATGACAACAACAATATGCCAGGCCTGGAAAGAATCCAAAAATAAATTAGACGTACCTGCCTTATGGAGCTTACAAAAGAGTAAGGAGGATAAGACAAATGCACTAGTCAGAAATGAAATCTTGGGTTTGGAATCCCAGGTCAATAGCTAGACAATGTGAGAAGCCAAAAGGAATAATAAGCAACTGTGCCTAAGGCATTTGACTGCTAACCAGAAGGCTGGTGGTTCAAACCCACCAGCCACTTCTTGGAAGGAAGGTTGGGCAATCTACTTCCATAGTGATACTGCCTCGGAAACACAAGAAGGGGTCGCTATGAGTCGGATCTGACTCGACGGCACTGAGTTTGGTTTGGTTTGGTTTGGTTTGGTGAACACTTTGCACACGTTTATTTCATTTATTCCTCTCCATGACCCAATGACATATAGACATTCATGAGAAAACTGAGTCACAGAGAGATTAGGTAATTTCACCAAAGTCATTCAGCTAGGCAGTGGTGAAGCTGAACTCCTATTTGAACCCACATGAGCAGTTCCAACACTTATGCTGCTCACTGCTACCTTTTCTTACAATCAAGATGTACACCTATGACTCAATATGTGCCTGTGTAGCTTTTAAAAAAGTTTTGTACAGTTAGACATGGAATATGCTGACCGTGGATTTTAGTGTATCCATGAACCATATTTTTATTTCCTGACAGGTCACGGGTTGACAGCAGTCAAAGAGAAAGCAGGGGCCACCCTGCGGATTCATAGTGCAAATTCCGGATCTGCTGAAGGGGTCCAACCTGATAATGAAAACGAAGCCCCTCAATGTGAGTGATATATTTATTGAGGGGTTTTTTGGTCTTAGGCTTTATTACATTGTGTGTGCAGTTAGCAGGTTTCAAGTTCAGATCAGCAAAATTAACTCTGAAAGCATTTTTTTTTTCCTCCTTAGTAACAGATGCTGCCACAGATCAGAGCCCCACAGAAAGTCCACCCACTTCTCCGTCGTCAGGGTCTCGAGGCATGCTGTCAGCCATCACCAATGTGGTTCAAAACACAGTAAGTCCTTCGCTGCTTCCTCTGTTTTCCCGTGTCGCCTGGTGCCTCCATTTGATATCCATTTACCAGTGACCTAGATATGTCAGAGAAAAGATGGCCTTGCTCATAACTTTGGATTATGGTTTTATTATACTTTCCACTACAGAGTAGACATAACCTTGGAACCAAAATAAGAAGGGCAAAATGAAACGTATTTTATGTTGAAAAGAAAGGAACTGTTCAAAAGGAATATTTTCAGTCTGATTTAACAGTGTCCTTTCCAACAACAGCAAGGACAGCCTCAGGTTGGGGGAGAAAAGACTCTTTTTCAGAACTGAGACAGCTGTTTTGGCTGGATGATCTGTGTCTCTATCCCTCAATTTGGAAAATGATAACACCGTTCAAATGAAAAATGCCAGTAAGGAGTCAGGAGATACATCCCAGAGGCTGTATCTAAAGTGTTGCCAGACATCTAAGATCACCATTGTCCCTCATCCAAACCTCCCAAACCCCACTCTCTCTTCTCCCATAACCCTGGATTTATCCTCCTGATTCCCTGCCTGCCAAGGAAGCTTGTTATCAGCAACAACAACAAAGGAAACAAGCCCATTGTCATTGAGTGGATTCCTAGTCATGGCTACATCATGGCCAGGCTGTGTGCTACAGAGTAGAACTGCCCCAGGGGGTTCTTTGCCTGTAACCTCTGCAGAAGTAGATTGCCAGGCTTTCTTCTGCAGCACTGCTGGGTGGGCTTGTACTGCCAACTCCTGGTTAGTAGTTCACCATGGACAGTTCACCCCATCTCGCCAACAAAACAGTGATAAATAAGGAAAAAACTGACGTGAGGCAGCATGTATTCAGGGTCAGAATGAAAAGATTGGTTTTCTTCTATATCGGACCAAATAACTAGCTTTTCTAGAAAGATGGCTCATGTCCCATTTATTCATTCATTCACTCATTAAAACAAGTTTAAAAAGTTGTTAGCCCTTATTATGGACCAGAAGCTGTGCTAGTTCTGGACATATACTGGTACAGTAGTTAAGGTTATATGTCCAACTTGGCTGGGCCTGGTTTTGAGTGGCTGGGCAGCTGGATGTAGTTATTCCCCATGGTGAGAGTGGTGATCAACCGCATGGTGGAATGTACTAGAGCAGCTGAGCAGCTGCTTTAGGGATGTGGTCTGCTTCTAGTATGTAAGAAGCAACGTTGAGGAAGGTTTCAAGCTTTTGGCACGTGAATCCTGCATGTGGCCAAGTTGTTATTCAGCAGACTGCCACATTGTCTGCCAACCTTGGGACTCTTAATGGACTTGAATCAGTGCCCTGATGTATGGTTCGTGCCTTTTTACTTGTGGACCTTGGGTTTGTCAGCCTCAGTAGCCAGCTGAATGAAGAGATACCTCTAGCTTTAGTGGGCTGGGAGCAAGAGGTAAACCTGAAGCCCAAGGTTGAGGGGCTTTCACCCAGCCCCTAGAGCCTGACACTTTGAACTCTGACTTCTAGCTTCCCAAACTGTAAGAAAATAATCTCTTGTTCGTTAAAGCCACCCATTTTTCATATATTTCTGTTAGAGCAGCACCAGTTACAACTGGTAAACAAGAGGACACAATATCCTGGAAGACAGAGGCACTCAACACAGATATAATGCAACGTGGGGTGAACGGGGGGCTGTGGACACACATATGAGAGCATCGTACCCAGACTTTGGGGGTCAGAGCACATCAGAAATATAGACAGTGAGTTTACTCCTGTTGAGGGGCAATACAAATGTTATAGGAGTCAAATTGCAATACAAGTCAAGTACCCCAATGAGGGAGTTTGTAAGGTGGGGGAAAGGAGGGAGCTCTTTCACTAGCTCTAGTATGACAAACTTAAGTCATTGCTTCTCTGCTACAGTGCAGGGCAGTCTGTGTTTGTCGTTAGCATCCTTACATTCCTTTCTGTGTGTCTCCAACCTCTGGTGTTGCCTTTGCCCCAATCTCCTGACACCTCCAGCAGGTCTGCTCTTCCTCAAAGTCTCCATGTCCCTTCTTCTCACATTTTATTCTCTACTGAAATAATCCTTCATAGGATGTTAAGGGGGAATTTAATAAAATCTTACCAAAGTGTGCATTCCTGATATCCTACCATCCTGAAGCATGTACACTTTAAAATCTATTTTATAACCTGATTATTGATTGGCTCTGCTGAAAAATACCTAAATGTCCAAGAAAGAAATCACTAATAAAGTATATTAATTCACTGATATGGAATATTGCTATTTACATGATAATTATAAGGATTGTAAAATGTATAAAATCCAGTGCCATAGAGTCGATTCCAACTCATAGTGACCCAATAAGATAGAGTAGAACTGCCCCAAAGGGTTTCCAAGGCTGTAAATCTTTGTTGTTGTTGTTGTTTATGAATTGAGTAAAAGTTTACAGAGCAAATTCATTTTCCATTCAACAGTTCATATACATTTTGTTTTGTGACATTGATTGCAATCCCCACCCACAATGTAATAGTTATCTTCCCACTTCCTCCCTTTGGTTACCCTCTCCCTGTGTCCTTCTTTCCTATGCATTCCTGTGCTCTGAGCTATCTCCCTGTGTAAATGCTGCCCTTCTGATCTAAGGCATGTACTCCCTGGTGTAAATGTTCACCTTGTAGACCTTTCTGTCTGTTGTTTGTCTGGAAGCCAGGGAAGTAAGTTCAGTTCCAGGCCCAAAGGGTGACTCAGATGTAATCTCAGGGGTTTACCAGTCTCTATCTGACCAGTAAGGTTGGTCTTTTTTATGATTTTGAGTTTTGTTTGGCATTTTTCTCCCACTGTATCCAGGATCACCAATTTTGATCCCTTTCTGTGTGGTTGGCAGTGATAGCTCTTCTGGTCTCAGGGTCATGTAGGGCAAGGCTGTACATCTTTATGGAAGTGGACTGCCTCAGCTTTCTTCCATGGAGCCACTGGTGGTTCAAACCACTGACCTTCTGGTTAGCAGCCAAGCACATAGCCATTGTGCCGCCAGGGCTACTACAAAGTGTAGATAAACCAAACACACTACTGTCGAGTCAGAGCCAACTTACAGCAACCCCTCCTTGGGTTTCCTAGGCAGTATCACTACAGAAGTAGATTGCTCAACCTTCCTTCCGGGGAGTGGCTGGTGGGTTTGAACTGCCAGCCTTCTGGTTAGCAGTCAGATGCTTTAGGCACTATGCCACCAGAGCTCCCCAAAGTGTAGATAGATGTATGTAAAATACAATGTATATTTTATTCGTATAAGAGAGTAAAAACACAAATTCCAATGTGCATATTGGAATTCAGTTGTGCAGCTGGGTATTGTAAAGATATATAAGCAGTTCTATTCATGCAAACAGCTTATATGAGTCAATCTTGGCTATTTTAGCCTTCTTTAAAGGGAAACTGGCTGAGAAAGAGATTTACAGGGAAAAACCGTATAATCGAATAGTTTCTAAAGCCAGAAGTACATGCAAATCAAGCTGTCTTATTTCATGAGTATACTAATTATCGGTAGTTCTTGCTAGTTTCTGAAAATAAGCCGGAGCCATCTGAAATAGCCAGAGGCTCTTCTACCAAGGCCTTAGATTAAAGGATTCCCTAAATTGGCATGAGTATTTGACATTTTAATAGACTTCTCCAAATAATTCTGTTACTTGGGTTAAGAAATTCTCAAACGAGAGCAGAAATTGGGTCATCTATTAATTTATGTCTTAACTACACATCGATTCATATCCACAGAGTAAAATTAATCCTTAATGTGCTTGGGTTTTTACCTAAGCATCATTTTTTAATAACATTGTGTGTCCTACAAATTATACAACATATGCTTTCCCAAGAAAAAGAAAATAGGATTAAATGGATGATAAATCTCCCAGTGAAAAAAAAAAATTGTGACTTTGTATTGATTTGAAGATAGTGCCAGTTCCCTAGGAGTTTCTGACTGCTGCAAAGCAGCAAAACATAAAAATCTCATCTCCTGCAATTACCCCATCTACAGGGTAAAAGCGTCTTAACTGGTGGTCTTGATGCGTTGGAATTCATCGGCAAGAAAACCATGAACGTCCTTGCAGAAAGTGACCCAGGTTTTAGGCGGACCAAGACACTCATGGAGAGAACCGTTTCTTTGTCTCAGGTAACTGTTACACTTTCTAATTTTTAAATTGTAACTTCTACAAATTTTGTCTTTCGGTCATGTTTTAACTTAAAATTTTAAAATCTTTTTAATAAGGTATTTTAAAGAATGGTATAAAAATGACACAAAAGGATAGAGAGTGGAAATTCACTTTTTAATATGTTCAGTTTCCTTAGCCACTTAACTCCTCCTTAGTGGACTAGCACCTTATGAGCTTCTTGTGGATTCTACCAAAGATAATCAAATAGATCCATTAGATAGGTAGGTCGTGGGTGGGAGAGAAAACAAGAGAGAAAGACAGACACATGTATATGTGTGAAAAAAGCTGAGTATAAATCAACTCAACAGCACCTAACACCACCAACACCTGCTGATGCTGGATCACCACAGTATTGACTTTCACCTCCTCCTAAACAGTAGTATTTCATTCATTCATTAGTTTCACAAATGCATTTTGAATGTCTACTATGTGTCAGGCACTGTCCCAAGCACCAGAGATTCATCAGTAACCAAAACAGGTAAAAATCCCTGCCCTTAAGGACTTCTCTTTTTAGTGGGGAAAGACAAACAGTAAAATAAATAAGTAAATCATCTAGTATTTTAGAAGAGTATGATGCTACGAAGCAAGAAAAATAGAGTGAGTAATAAGAGGGTGATTAGGAGTGAAGAGCAGGTTACATATTAAAGTGGTAAGGATGGGTTCATGGTGGTGATGACATCTGGGCAAATACTTGGAGGCGATAAGGGGTTGACCATGCAGACATCTGGGAGAAGTGTATTTTAGACAGAGGGAGCAGTTTGTGCAAAGGCCCTGAGGCAGGAGTGGCTGGTATGAACAAGGAACAGCAAGGATGCTAGGTGGCTTGGATGGAGTTAGCCAGGGTGAGAGTTCATGGAGATGAGGCCGGAATGGTCATAGGGAGCGGGCAATGGCAGATCAGAGAGCACATTTATAAAGACCTTGGGTTTTACTGTCAGTGAAATGAGATCATTGCAGGGTTTTAAAAACAGGAGCAATGGACTTTTTTTTTTTTTAATTGTGATTTAGGTGAAAGTTTACAGAGCAATTTCATTTTCCATACAGCATTTCATACACATTTTGTCTCATGACATTGACTGCAATTCACCACAGTGTAACTGCTGTCTTCCTGCTTCCTCCCTGTAGTTACCTCTTCCCTCCCATGCACTACCCACCCCCCAAGCTATCTCCCTATGCAAACACTGCCCTTCTGTTCTCCCATGATTGATTGCTCCAAGGAGTGTATCTAACTGATATAAATGTTCACCCCCATGCCTGTCTGTTGTTTGACTGGAAGCCACAAGAGTGGGTTCAATTCTAGACTTGAAGGGGACCTAGGGGCCATAGTCTCAGAGGTCTCACCAGGCTCTATCAGACCAGCAAAACTGGTCTTTTTTTTATGATTTTGAGTTTTGTTCCACATTATTCTCCTACTCTATCCAGGATCTCCTACACAAATCCCCCTCCCAGTGGTTGACAGTGGTAGCTGGCCATCATCTAGTTCTTCTGGTCTTATGGTCAAATAGGCTGAGATTACATGGTCTACCAGTCCCTTGGACTAATTGTTTCCAAGCGTCTTTGGTTTTCTTCATTCTTCTTTGCTGTGGATGAGCAGAGACCCATCGTTGCATCTAGATGGCTGCTTGCAAGCTTTTAAGTTCCCAGTGGCTACTCGCCAAAGTGGGCTGTAGAACGATGTTTTTGTGTAGTATGTTATGCCATTAGAGCTTGACGTCCCCTGCAACCATGGTCCTGAGCCCACAGGTCCAACTACTCGCTCCCTCCAGGTAACTGGCTGTGGCCAAGAAGCTACCACAACTTTGGAAATCTGACTTATGTTTTAAAAGGATCACTCTAGTTACTATGTTGAAAATAGACTGAATGGGGGAAAGGGCAATGGTGGGGAGATCAGTTAGAGTGTTCATCAGTGTAAGTCCCCCAGAAGCAGATGTCAAGATGGGATTAAATGTGCAAAGATTTTATAGGGGAAATGCCTGTGTGAGGAAAATGGGGAGGGAGCCCAGGAAGGCTGAAAGAACCCTCAGACCAAGATGCAAGTCTGAACACAGTGAAGAAAAGAAGAGAAAGGTGGGTAGAAGCCTCCTCAACAGTCTAAGGAAAGTGGTAAAGCCTGCCACCAGAGGAGACCCTTGTCTCTCAGAAGCAGGCCTGCCTTAGTGTCCCAACTACACCAGTGATTGGTAGGGAGCAGTAGTGGGAGGCATGACTTTAGTGCAAATGTGGGATGGGGTTCAGAGCCCAGCAGTGAGGCCCTTGATTGGTTATGCTTCGATAGTAGGAGCTCTGCAGTTCACACTCATGGGCTCCTCAGGAGGCCACTGCAGTAATCTAAGCCAGAGATGATGCTGGCTCAGAACAGTGCAGAGGCGGTGATAAGTGGTGCATTCTGGGTATATTTTGAAGATGGAGCCAGATTTCATGATGGATTGAATGTGGGGTATGAGATAAAAAGAGGAGTCAAGGATGACTCCAGGGATGTTTTAGCTTCTGTAGCTGCTATTAATGGTGATAGGGAAATCAGTGATCTTCTTCCTAATTCACACTAAATAATACATAACTACAGAAATTAGAAATAATTGTGCATATTCCATCAAGATATCTCACCCCTGTGCTACACAAAATACTCTGGGTGACATGGAGACTGGTTGGTCCTCAAGGTCTCAGATTCCACGGATGTAAGGCTCCACAGCTTCTCCTCTGACAGGATGTATTCCAGT